TCGGATCCATGCCCGTAAGCTGATGGCAGGACTCCTCGACGGATTGTACCAGCGAGGCTGGATTGTGAAGGTTTCCGTGGATATCGGACACGTTGGTGAGTAATTGCCCGCTTTTCTTATCAAGGGGATAACACCCCTATCTAAAGGATAATCGCCACCCTTTGCTGGTTGGTTGCTGATTCCGGCGTAACTACGTACCTCCCCGGGCATAAAAGACAGTTTATTCTTTCGCTACCAACAGCCTGCGCCGCCGCCGTGTATATGGACAAGCATATCCTTCCACCACTCCGATAGACTGCGTATTGTCGATGGACCAACCGGCTTTGGCTTGAATCTGGCGGATGCCCTGGGCCCCGATGTCGAAAACTGCCAAGTGCGAGGAACCATGTTTGAGATCAAGCTTCACGGGAGTCCCTGGCGAGCTGTAGGCACGAAGACGGTGAAGACCCGCGTTATCCTTTTGACGATTATGGACGTGCTCGAACAGCAGGGATTCGGCCTGTATGCGGCCATCAACCATAACAGCAGACGCTCCAAGGACTCAAGTAACGCTGAAGCCGATACGTGGTACTGCAACCGGCCTATTGACTGGAAGCCCGGCCAGTTTGTCTACCACGGGTAGTAGTAGCAATCACTTTTATATCGCCATATCGAACACCCCTTCTCTATGTTCCATCCCCCCCTTTCTCACCAGACATTCTTGTCCTGCTTCTGTCTGCTTTCTTCCCGTGATACCATAGTCAAATAGTAATATCAAAGCGTTCCCGTTCCATCCAAAAGCCTCCCTGCGGTGCAATAATGATCTTACGTGGCCGCGGCGGCGACCTGTCCGCTCCCCACAGCGCCTAGAACGCAGTCCTCGCCCGCCCGCCACTCCTAGCCCGTGGATAGCTAGGCAATGAATGGAAATATAACTTGAATCCGGGGGGCTGTTCTCCCTTTCCATGACGCGTCCCACCGCAGGGACAAGGGCACAAATGGTGGATGGGCCAGCGCTTGCTGCGCCCTCAGCCTGCAGAATGCGGCGAAGACCTGCGACTTGCATCAGCTCGACAGGTCCAGGAGTCAAATAATAATAAGAAGAATAGCAATATGGGGGGGCGGACGCACCGTATCAAGCCATATCAACCATCAACCGCTTTCTCTGTGCTGGTGGTCGATAGCAGTTCACTGTAGCAACCACGTAACTAGCCGCCTCCGTAACTAGCAAGTCGACCGTCCAGCTCAAGCGTTTCAGCTGCACAAGCAAGAAGTAAAAAAAAGAAAGAAAGAAAAAGCCCGCCTAACTATTAATATGGCTCGTTGACCATGAGTTAAACTGAATATTTCCAACATATCACGTCGCCTTGATTTTTATTTTATTTTATTTTTATTTATTGTTTTGTATTTCTCTTTTTGATTCCTTCGTCGCCGTCGTCTTCGCCTTTCTCCAGCCCGGCAGACGGTTCCAATTCACGGTCAACATCCCAGGCATGCTCGCGAGACCCCGTAGACGAAGCTGATCGATCCTCTTATCCCCGTCGCTGTCCCTGTCGCTCGTTGTGTCCCAGGCTCTGCCAGCGCCCGTCGTCCCGTCGCCCGCTCTCAGCTCGACCGACACCAGCAGCCATGGACGCACAGCTCCCCAGCAAGCTGCCCTTCTCGAAGAAGCGCCTGCGCGCAAGGATAGTCCTATCGTGAGTGAAGACGGACGTCTTGCAGCATCCAGCCGACGGAGCCTGTGTCCAGCTAACTACCGCCCGCGCCTGCAGATACATCTCCGACTATGTGATCCTCATGTTAGTTGCAACGCTTCCTCAAGATGGCGCGAAGGCATGCGACAGCTTTCCCGATCGAGACCGACTGACTCGCTTTTGTTTCTTTGCTTCTTCTTCGCTGGCAGTGCGCTCATCATAGGATTCTTCATCCTCGACCGGGTCGAGCCCTTCCACCAGCCGTTTGCGCTGCAGAACTACACGCTGCACTACCCGTACGCCGTCAACGAGCGAGTGCCCATCCCGCTCGCCCTCGCGATCTCAGGCGGCTTCCCCGTGCTGGTCATCGTCGTCTACACGATCGTCCTGGACGGGCTGTTCTCGCATAGCAAGCCTGTCAACATAGCGACGGGAAAGCGGAAGCTAATGGGCAAGTACAGGCTCAAGGACCGGCTGTGGGAGCTCAACTGCGGCATCCTTGGGCTGGTGCTGGCCCAGGGAGCAGCTTTCGTCATCACCGGTGCATTGAAGAATGCGTGCGGTAAGCCTCGACCGGACCTGATCGATCGGTGCAAGCCCAGGACCTTCGAGCAGCCGGAGTTTGGCCTGTCGAATTATACTATCTGCACGCAGACAGACCACGAGATCCTAAAAGATGGGTTTAGATCTTTCCCATCAGGTGTGTATAATACCAGTCCCTGCCGATCGAAGAGGCCCCCCCTTTTTTTTTTTACTAACTTTTCCTTTCTTATTCTAGGACATAGCAGCTGTATGTATTGTTTGGGGAATTGCGGAGAGAAACAAAAAAAAAAAAAAAAAAAAAAAAAAAGGCTGAAACTTGCTAACTTTTACATGTAGCTTCGTTTGCTGGGCTATTTTATCTGTCACTCTACCTTGCTGGAAAACTGCATGTCATGGACAGCCGCGGAGAAGTCTGGAAAGCGTTCATCGTCATGGTGCCTACACTCTCGGCAGGGCTAGTGGCTGTATCTCGCATTATGGATGCCCGGCATCACCCATTTGATGTCATCTCCGGGTCCCTGCTGGGCGTTGGTTGCGGCTGGGTTGCCTATCGGCAGTACTTCCCATCTCTTGCAGAGCCCTGGAAAAAGGGCCGAGCTCATCCAATCCGCACCTGGGGATCGATTCCAGAGCCTCCAGTGTATACCCATCGCCGGCTTCTCGAGTACGAGAACGACCAGGCGAAACTGGTCCCTCGCGCGGATGAAGAGTACCAGGCCGCTCAAACTTCCCAGGAGCAGGCACAGACACATGACATCCCTGAATCAGCTCCGGCACTTATGAGCAACCCCTTTGAACACCAAAAGGCTCAGAGACGCAGACGACTCGCCGATACGGACTATGGTGCGTCCAGTAGCGAGTCGGAGGGTTATGAGATGCAGCAGACGAGATATGAGCCTAGACACCACCAAGGTGCCAATACCAGTTCGAATGCTGCGCCCAGATACGCCGCCTACCATCCTCCCGATCACAGAACTCCTTCCAACAGTCCACCTCTTGAGCGTCACCCTGCGTCCATTGTCAAATCATAAAACAAGAAATATCTCTGCCATGACAGCTCCATGTCTCGTACTTTCTTCTTTATACGTTGTTTATTTCAAACATTCTCACAAAGGATACCTATATCGCCCCCTTTCATGTTCATGTTAAATCCACCTCCTTGATGTTATATTATAATCCCCCTTTTTAACGCATATCTTTATATCTTTCTTATGCTGCTTGTTTAGCGCCTCTTATGAGAATCTGAATATCCTGCTCGTTCTTCTCGGATTACTAGGGGGGTGTTCATTTGGCCTGGACTGGATTTCTCAGCTATTTTGATAGCAATACCCTCTATTTTTCATGCATATTCTCAACTCTCTAGTCGTCTTTGCCGTCGGTTTATGATGATGATGTGGCCTTGATTGCTTGCGGTCTTCTCTTTCACTTGCATAAGGCAGCACATAGTAAATCCTGAGTGTTCCGTCTGGCATTTCTGTTCTCCTCATCTTGCCTGGTGCTTCAGCCTAGCTGGTCACCCGGCAACTGTCCTCACAGGAATTTGCCCTATATAAAACAAACAAAGATCTCGCTTCTCTTCTTCTCAGCTTCTTCTTCATCTCACTATCTTTCTCAATATCCTTCACCAATTCCACTATCACACATACTCGACTTGCATGCAGATCGAAGACACCGGCCAGCATCCCCTAGCCACCAATCTACTACTTTTTAGACTGTATCCTGTCTTCAAAGCTCAAAAATGCCTGTAGTGTGGGACGACAAAGCTGATGCATTGGTAGGCCGCGATCCCGTCACCTACTTCTCTATAATTGATGTACCAAACTGACCATCCGTCTACACCTAGCTACTTGCATCTATTCTGGCCACCGCAAGTGCCAAAGTCGACAATGCTGCTGTCGCTAAGATGATGGGCGGCGGTAAGTGAGGCCTCAAGCCGCACTCGAGTGAGAGATACCTGACCTCCAGCTATACAGAATACAACGCGCTGGCCATCAAGAACCGCATCGCCCGCATCAAGCTGAAGGCAAAGGCACCCAGCAGTGACACGGAGACCCCAGCGAATACTCCACAGAAACCAAAGACAGCGAGACCAGCAGCAGCCGAGAAGAAACGCAAGGTCAAAGACGAAACTGAGACTGAGCAAGGCGAGACTGCCGACAAGCAGGCTCCGAAGAGAGGCAGAAGAGCCGTCAAGACTGAGGTCAAGGACGAAGTCAAGGAGGAGGATGCTTGCTGATTTTGCATTTCTACCGACATTGGAGGCCACAGATGGACGCTCCTCTACTATGCTACTCCATCCTCTCCTTGATTAATTAAGTACCTAACCAGACGCTGAATATCGAACAAGACGTCTCAAGTCCAAACAAGCATCCCGATAGACCTTCTCGAAGCCGCGGCTGCATCAAAGTCTGAAGCGGTGCCTGAGAGTAACCGTGGAACCGCAAGCCGCCGTTGCCACTGGATAATAATAGAGTAAATAGTAGTAGTAGTAGTAATGCCCAACGCCTGAAGTCCGAAGCCTGAAGCCATTCTACCATCCAATGCAGGGATCCATGGCCCATCGACGTCATTGGCGATGCTGATTGGCAACCAGGCTCGTTTCCATGACAGCGAGCACGGCTAAAACATCCCGCTTAGCTATCTGCTCGTCGTTGCTTTTTTCTTTCTTCCCATTTCCCAGCCTCAAGTATTTATCAAATGAATTTACTTAGTCCCGGGACCCCCAGGGTTGGCCAGGCGATAGTTAAATAGCTCCGTAGCGCGCATGGTCGGGCGCTGGATCTCCGCGACTTTGTTTATATACATACTCCGTACCTCCCGGGCACTCGCATTGTCGATCTGTTCGACTGTCCTGCATCGTTAACGAGACCGACAGCAGAGCCAGCAGAGTAGCCAGGACTGTCGAGCTGCAAGCGTCGCTCAGTTTCCTCCACCCAGTCGCAAGCCGCGATCAGGCTTCATATAGCAGCTCCTTATACCTCAGTCTCCCCTCCGCCGCTTGCTGGCTAACAAAGGCCTCAAGGCGCATCGACCAAGATGTTCTCCAGCTTCTTCTTCATCTGCTGGCGAATCGGCCAGTTGATCACTCTGATACCGCCCATTGGCATGCTCGTAAGTCGGCCCAGCCACCTCTCTATGCCGGAGAAAGACCCTCTCGTGATACTGACATCGGCATCCCAGGCATGGTTCATAGATGGCTTCGTCAAGGCCAACATCATCACTCCAACATACATCCTCGTCCTCTTCATCGTCAGCGTGCTCGGCGGCATCTGGGTGCTCGAGACCCTCTTCCGCTTCAAAAACACCAAGCGCTCAGCCATCTTCGTCTCCTTCATCGACCTCTGCTTCTTCGGCGCCTTGATCGCGGGCGTCTATCTGCTCCGTGACATCGCCCAGGAGAACTGCAGCAACTTCTCGCGCAGCAAGTTCCTCCTCAGTCTGGGTCCGTTTGGATACTATGGCCAGCAGCAGCGTAACCCGCTCGCCAGCGACCCAAACAAGGTGTGCTCCATGCTGAAAGCCTCATTTGCGTTCGGTATCATGAACATCATCTCGTTCTTCTGGACGGCCGTGTTCGCATACTTCATCTCCCACCATGAGGAGCACCACGAGCGGCGTTCGCGCAGAGGAAGCCACTCCAGCCGCCGAAGCAGCCACCACAGACATCGAAGCAGCTCTGGAAGACGAAACTCATACCATGTTTAAAAACACTTGGCTATCTCCTGCTCTTCAAATTTCCTTTCCCCTTTAGACTACCCCCTAGGTACGCGTACACGGCTTGTTGTCTTTCATGACTGACGACGGAAACTTTGGCGGATAAAACTGGTTGGTTTGGCTTCTGTAGATAATGATTGATATGTTAAATACTCGAAATAATACTGCGTCTCTTCTAGCACACAACTATATCGGTTTAACGAAATCTAAAATTCCGCGTAGACGCAAAAATGATGCACTCTACAAGCTTGCTCTTCATATCGTAGAATAAGGAGGCCTTCATACTCGAGACTACTGAATGGCTCTGTTCCATCCTGCCAATTGTATTCTATATGTAAGCAGCAGTTAGATAAACTGCTTCGGCGTCAAGTAACCACGCTACCAAGTAGCTAGAAAGACATCTCTTTCTGATTGAGTCCTTCAGGCGCCCGGAAGATAGAAAGCCACCGCAATATCAATATTCGCAGGGCGTCGCTCAAATGGAGGATTTGTTTTACTTCTCAATTGCTTACGTAACAAAGCTATAAGGCTGAATGTTTGTCCATATATGACTAATAAATTACTAATTATTGGCACGTGATACCGGACGGGTATTAATCATTGGCCGAGGATCTATTATTAAGCAAAAATTTTAATTCAAACAGTGCAAACATACTATTTAAGGAAAGTAATCCCCCAAGATCCACACCTCCAGATCTGTATCGGAGAGCGCCGCAATATCAACGCTTGCCTAGGCATAAGGCAGCCTCAAAGAGCAGAGATACTACTTGCCCGCTATTCATAGGCTGGCTATATATATACCCAGTAGCCATCTCATCCTGTCCACTCTCCCTCCCTTGCTACTAATTAGTTGCTTGAATAATGTCACATTATCCAATATCGATTGGTAGCGATGGTTTCCATCGAAGACTTGCCGTCTTATTACAAGGAGCCCGTTGAGAAGATCAGAGCAGATCAATATCCGCTACTGAAAGGTTAGCATAGCAGCATATTTACCCCCTGCCGATGACCGTTTTCTTCTTTATTCCTTGGAAGGAGCCACTAAGCTGCTGCTGTCAATACTGAGAAACCCAGTCCTGACTCTTTAACTTCTAGATACAACCTACCTCGATCATGCAGGGACAACTCTCTATGCAAAGTTGCTGATAGAGTCATTCTCCCAGAGCATGACGAGCAACCTCTTTGGGAATCCTCACTCAGCGTCTTCATCTTCCCAGTTATCCACCAGTCTAATAGACGATGCACGGCTACGAGTTCTTCGTTTTTGTAGCGCAAGCCCGGAAGACTTTGACGTTGTCTTTGTGGCCAACGCAACTGCTGGTATAAAGCTCGTTGCAGAAAGTTTGCGAGACTATGAACCTGGGGGGTTCTGGTACGGATATCATGTCGATTCTCATACCAGCATGGTTGGGGTCAGAAACATGGCAGATCGCGGAAACAGATGCTTTGTTGCCGATAACGAGGTAACCAGCTGGATTAGTGAACTTCGTAAAGGCTACAATACTTCAAGGTCTGCCCACCCGACCCTTTTTGCATATCCAGGCCAATCAAACATGACCGGTCGCCGGTTGCCATTGAGCTGGTGCAGGGAATTCCGTGCCTGCACAGACAATGATGGGAAGCAGATAGCTTTCACCTTATTTGATGCTGCATCTCTAGCCTCTACCTCCCCTCTTGATTTAAGTGACACAGCCTGTGCACCAGATTTCACTGTTATCAGCTTCTATAAAATCTTTGGCTTTCCTGACCTCGGAGCCCTTATCGTTCGCAAAGATGCCGGCCATCTTTTCCGGAATAGAAAGTACTTCGGCGGGGGTACAGTCGGAATGGTCTTGACTATCGGAGAACAGTGGCATGCCAAGAAGGATTCTACCCTTCATGATCAGCTTGAGGATGGCACGCTGCCTTTTCATAATATCGTGGCCTTGCATTCCGCCTTTGACGTACATGAGCGTATTTACTCTTCCATGGATAACATATCTCGCCATACTGCAGAATTGGCTGGGATCTTATATTCTGGGCTGTCATCTCTGGAGCATGGAAATGGTACAAAGGTCTGCGAGATTTACAAAGGACCGGGTGAGTATATGGAACGTGCTCTCCAAGGTCCTATTGTATCTTTCAATTTGAAAAACAGCACTGGAGACTGGATACGGAAGTCAGATGTGGAGAAGCTAGCTGCTGTCAAAAATATTCAGATCCGGTCCGGGACTCTATGCAATCCTGGCGGGATGGCGTATTATCTTGGGTTGAAGGCAGATGATATGAAACGCAATTATAACGCTGGGCAGCGCTGTGGGGATGACAATGATATCATTTCCGGAAAACCTACTGGCGGTCTTCGGATCAGCCTAGGTGCCATGACATCTAGGCAAGACATTGATACCTTTCTTGACTTCATTCGAAATTTCTATGTGGAAGATCCCGTCGTTAGCGAACCTGAACCTCGAGGTGGAGTTTTAGCACCCTCCGTTCAAGCATTACCTTCGAAGTTTTATATAGAGAAACTCTGTATTTATCCAATTAAGAGCTGTGGAGCATTCACCATCCCTGACTTGATGGAATGGGATGTCAAACCAGAAGGGCTAGCCTGGGACAGAGCATGGTGTTTGATACATCAAGGAACTGGTTCTGCTCTCAACCAGAAAAGATACCCCCGAATGGCACTGATACGGCCGGTTATTGATCTCGCCAGGGGCATGTTACGAGTCAACTTACCAACCCCGGGCTCATACGGAGATTCTATGGAAATACCGTTAGCCGTCAATTCCACAGATCTCGTCGAAGGAGAGATATGCAAAAATATCACAAATCAGCAATCTACAGTATGTGGAGATAAGGTCTCTGTGCAAGTGTACAAATCTGCTCGACTCTCAGCCTTTCTCTCTGATTTCCTTGGTGTTCCTTGTATGCTTGCAAGATTTCCATCGCACCAGAACCATTCGTTAGCCCGATTTTCTAAACCATACCGAAATCCCGGCAGAGGACTTATACATACGCTAGATACAATGGACAAGATCCCTGGTTCGTTTCCCGAACCTGTTGCATCGGGTTCACAGCGTCCTATACTCCTATCCAACGAGGGGCCTATCCTCATAATATCCCGTTCAAGCGTTAACAAAGTCAACGAAACTATAAAGTCTTCTGGAAAGCCAAATTCCACCTCTAAAACAGTTGCAGCGGACGTATTCCGGGCAAACATCATTGTCTGCGAAACAAAGCCTGCCCTCACGCCCAAACTCACTCCAGCCTATCGGTCATCAACCGCTTCTGAACATCCCTATATAGAAGAGTTATGGACCGGATTTCAAGCAGGAGGTGCTCATTTTGACGCTCTCGGGTCTTGTCAGAGGTGTCAAATGATTTGTATTGACCAGCAGACCGCTGCACGCAGCGACGAGCCTTTCTCTACGTTGGCAAAGACTAGGAAGGTTGAAGGAAAGGTTTACTTTGGTAAACACGTTTGTTTGTCCAATGCATCTGATGATAAGCGTTTAACGATCAGAACAGGCGAACTCGTGACTCCATTCTATGACTGATAACGGTGATATAGCCACACTTTCTAGAATTTTTGTTGGCTTTAGGTTTCCTATCTTGTGCCATTGGCGGCTATCATTCATTTTCCGTAGATTTTTAGTGAATTTCTAGGTATATATTGCATATTTTATAACACCAATGCAACAGCTGCATTCCTTCGCACAAAACAGGGTGCAGTGACCCGTTAACCGCTAAACTCCAAGATATAGTACATTTGAGTTACAATTGAAGACTCATAATAAGGGAAATCACGATCGAGGGTACTTCTTCCAGCCACGACCATGACCACGCTATAGATAAATGTTAGTCCAAAGTTGCCTTTGAGAAATACAGAAACGAATGTGAAGCCTTACCTGTTTCCATAACCGGATCATTTCTGGCATTTCCAACATAGCCTTCTTCCTCTCTTCCAACTTTCCTTTCATGGATCTCTCCCACTTGTGACCCTTGACCTTCTGGCCGATACCAGTACCCTTGACTCTGAGACCCTTCTCAATAAGCCTTGCATGCTTATACTCGGTTGATTTTCGACCTGGAGGCAATAGTTCTTCCACGCCATATTTGATGCCTAATTTCACCAATTCCGCCTGTCGACGCAATGATATCACAGCTCCTCGCCATCGCCCGGTTTCCGGGTTCTTATATGGAAGGAAAGGGTTCGGGTATAGCCCACTAGGGTCGGAACGGAGGAGGGAGTCTGTATATGAAAGGGAGTTGGCGTCTTTGGTCTTCGAAAGTTTGACCTTGGTATTTCGTGATGCAAACGGGCTGGGAGCAGGTTTTATGACTGCGGAAAATTCAGAGCTGCCAGAGAACGTTTCTTGCTGTGGTAGGGCCTTCGGTATAGCTTGCGATGAATAGTATTGTGGTGGATAGCGGGCGAAGAAATTTCGAAGCCGGAGCGGGAGGCCCTCAACGAGACCGACTGCTGCTTGAGTCGCCATGTTCAGGCTGCAAAGGAGTACAATGCCTGCTTCAATTTGCCCTGTTGGAATTATTGCAGCTCAGCCGATATCCTCGTCTTCGACCTTTCACTTTCTCCAGTCTTTCTCTGCGCGCAAAAGCTTTTTGACTCACGTGATACACGCGGCTATCTATTTCTTACGTAATCTTGCCCGCTTTTTCGTTAGCGCCTCTCTGTTCTTCCCGACGTCAATTTCTCACTTAACGCTCAAACGCGCGCTGGGCTACATTTCATTTCCACAGAAGAAGGCGGCAAAGAAAAAGCGGTTCACCATACTTTTGTGCTGTATAGACAGCGACTATCAATTGAAAAATCTTATTGCTGGTGATTTTGGAGAAACATGGCAGACTTGCTCTTTGGTGGGACCGACGAGGAGAATGAAGAGTTGAAGAAGCTCTATGCTGAAGTGGTAAGCATATCTTGAGTTCTTTGAGTCTTCGCAGAATACCGTAATCTCTTTGATCTACATGGCTTTGCTAACACAATTTTTGATACAGCTCGAGGATACCGACAGCTTTGAGGCATGGGAGAAACTGGTGCGCGCAGCTGAGGGCCAAGAAGGCGGAATCAATCGTAATTCAAGCCCCCAGGCTATCACAGCTACAAGAACCGTATACGATCGGTTCCTTGCGAAATTCCCTCTTTTATTTGGGTACTGGAAGAAATATGCGGACCTAGAATTCTCTATTGCTGGCACCGAGGCCGCCGAGATGGTTAGCAATTCATATCTCATTCTTTTTGAGAATCGCATATGCTGATCCAATCTTCTTCCGTTTAGGTGTACGAGCGCGGAGTTGCTAGCATTACAAACTCGGTTGACCTTTGGACAAACTACTGTACTTTCAAGGTCGAAACCTCGCACGACACCGATATTATTCGAGAGTAAGTATAAGAATATGTTGGTCCCCTTCCCTATAACCATACCGACATAGCGCGTGAGTCGTTCGCAATCTTGAGGTCATATGGGGCAGATCGATAATATCAAGGTTCCTTAAATGGGTGAGATAGTCATCTGCCACCTCGGTTTCGTTGAAACTACTTCTTACCCATAAGATTCAGGCTGCCTTTGCTTCGCACACTACTTGGATATTGTTCGAGAATCCTTCTCCTATGTCACGCACGGATGATATAGCAACACCTACCTCCATCAATCGTTGATCCAACTCGGCACCTCATTTTGAAGACTTTAAATGCATATGCCATGTTTGACATCCTTTCCACCACCCTTCCTTCCGTCCCCTTCTTTTCCTTACCCTTTCTTATCTGCTCTCTGGGCTTAATTTTTACTGACCCACTTATTATAGGCTCTTTGAGAGAGGCGTCAGTTGCGTTGGTCTTGATTTCTTGTCACATCTATTCTGGGACAAGTATCTCGAGTTCGAGGAGCGCGTTGAATGTCCTGACAAGATATTTGCAGTGCTTGGCAAAATTATCCAGATACCAATGCACCAGTATGCGAGGTATTTCGAACGGTACCGACAGCTCGCTCAAACTAGACCTTTGAACGAGCTGCTTCCTCCCGAAACCCTAGCTCAATTTCGAGCTGAGATAGAAAATGCGGCGGGTAATGTACCTCCTGGTTCGAGGAGTGAGGCTGAAATCGAAAGAGACATCCGACTAAGAGCCGATGGCCATTTCCTCGAGATATTTTCACGCACTCAGACGGAAACGACAAAACGTTGGACTTACGAGTCAGAAATTAAACGGCCTTACTTTCACGTTACTGAACTAGATGAAGGTCAGTTATCCAACTGGAGAAGATACTTAGATTTTGAGGAGGCAGAGGGTTCTTTCGCCCGCGCGCAGTTTCTGTACGAGAGATGTCTTGTGACATGTGCGCACTACGATGAATTCTGGATGCGTTACGCGGCATGGATGTCTGGCCAAGAAGGAAAGGAAGAAGAAGTTAGAATCATCTATCAAAAGGCCAGTTCCCTATACGTCCCCATATCTCGCCCAGCTATCCGACTCCACTATGCCTACTTTGAAGAAATGGCTTCAAGAGTTGATATTGCTAAGGATATTCACAATGCTGTCCTCCTTGCTATGCCGGGGCACATTGAAACCATAATATCATTTGCGAACTTGTCACGTCGCCACGGTGGCTTAGATGCAGCCATCGAGATTTACAAAACCCAACTAGATTCAGCAGAGTGTGATATTCAGACAAAAGCAGCACTTGTGGCTGAATGGGCCAAGCTCCTTTGGAGGGTCAAAGGTACCGCTGATGAAGCTCGACAGGTGTTCCGCAAGAATCAACACTGGTATCCTGATAGCCGTCCTTTCTGGACAAGCTATCTTATGTTTGAGCTAGAACAGCCAACTAGCGCCGAAACTGAGCCCGCACAATACGAACGTATCAAGCAGGTTATCGATGATATTCGCAACAAAAGCTCATTGCCTGCCGAGGCAGCTAAGGAGCTTCTTCAGCTTTACATGACTTACTTGCTGGAGCGTGGGTCCATTGAAGCTGCCAAAGAGTACATCACCCTTAACCGTGAAGTGAATGGCCCGCCATCAGTCCAATCAATTATGAAGTCATCACTTTCAAAGGAGACACAAGACAAGCTTGTGATTGGCCAACAAAGTCCTAATTCTATGTTCAGACCTGATATTTCTGTCCCAAATCCAACTGTCTAATTTCCACTCGCTATTTGGTGACGTACGCAATATTAGTCGGCCTTTGTAATCTACAGTGGGCGTCTTAGTCGGTTGGGCGGTTTACATCTTTTCTTTTCTTTCTCTTCCCCCCCTCCCCCCCAAATATCCTATTCGGTAGCAAGAAATAAATCAAATACAGTTGCAAGTTTGCTGTTTGCTGTTGAGAGTGTTTTTAGGGCAGTAGTCATTTTAAATTTTAAAGTAATCATTCAGGTAACGAGCATCCAGGCTTGAAAACGGCAAAGATAGGTGTCTAGATAGAGGAAACAGCAAAAGCAATGGCCCTCTGGCCGGTATATGTTGGAGGCAGAATTATCTAGACACGACCTGGAGGATTGTCGAATTTTTTTTCCACACTATTTCCATATCTTTCTTGGTTTCACGGAATATCCTCAACGTGCCCTCATTTGGTCTCTAATCACCTACTTGCCATTCTAAGTAAGGCTTCTTTGAAGGCCTATTCAAATATGTTACACCCCATCTGTGACACTTAACACATCTTCTCATTGGTGCCTTATGAGGGGGCAAATTGGGAACAGCAGTATCAAGAAACCAGTGGTGTCTTGGTGAGCATGTTGCCCAGGTTTCAACGTTTGCTGACTGCATCGAAGGCATGGCGCCTAATGCTCGGCCAAAGGCTGGAAGAAACGGCTCCATTGCCTCTTCCACAGGGGCTGGGTGGTACATCTTAAGTGAATTATTGATGCTAGAAGACCACTTGATAGGCCCCCTGGGGATAATGGAGTGGATAGGTTCATCAAACCCCTCGTAGTGAGGTACTTCTTCAAGATAACTAGATCCAGTAGGTGTAGAAGGGTGAAACATAACGTTGAGATGCTGGAGCCTAGGCCAGAATGGAGTTGTTAAATTTTCTGCAGCAGATGGCCAGAAGAGGGTGCCATCTGCTATGATTCTCAGATCCATAGATACCAAGTTCTGTGAAATAGTTCTGATTGAGGAGCTTAGCGGGTCGTAGTGGTTTGGTATAGCAAATTAGGCAGATATCTGGTTTGACAAATATCTTGCACAAATTCGGTGGATATTTCCCAGAACCATAACTTCAATTTCTTTAGTTTACTTGAAGTTCATGGCTTCGTGGTGTCTTTAAAAGAGTCTGCACCCCTTCTGCGAACGATTGTCTAGTATGTGGCGGGCCTTTCATTTGGACAACAACGAATCGGAGACTTGTCTTCATACACCTGAGGCGGCCCTTCGGTATCAGCAGAATAATCAATAACCTCCAGGTTTGGCAGTGCATAGCAAAGATCGATTGCTGTCCGTTCACTAAGATAACGTCTCCCGTACGCAAACATACAATAATGTGATGTTCCAAAGCTCAGAGTGGTGATGCATTCCACCTTTGGGAGTTTCGCAGGGTTGAGTATGCATGAGCGCCACGAATAACTATAAAACTGGAGAGCTCAGCTTGAAGCAGCCTATGTTCAAGATATCCAGATAGCTTGTATCTGTGCTGAATCCCGCGCTCAATGATGCTAAGAGCCTTGAAAATATCTGTGATTTGTGCAGTAAAGGCCTCATTCACTAGTATCTCCTGGGGGGTAACATGGGTATTCTGGGTATCTGATTGAGAAAACCGCAGGCATGACGGCAATGGGAAGTTCGGGTTGAAAAAGATGAGTCGAAGTGACGGGGCAAGGTGACTGTTATATCGAGCCACAAACTGATCCATAGTGTAAGTGTCTTTCCCTGATCGAAGTAATGCTTCCATACCCTGAAATCTCGGTTCAGAGTGACATCGCTCCCTTCCACTAGGGGCACGATACTTTCTCTTTGCTTCTCGAGTACAGGTAGAAACCGAGGGCAGATCTCAAAAGTAGCACAGAGTGAATCTAGGTCAAGGTCCTTCGCGATCATGTTGATGAGCTCCTGAGAGAGAGAGTTAATAGTTACCACTGATGCTAACGCATGGCTAGGGCAACAGCGATATCTAGCAGTTATATCTAGCAGAAATAGAGGCGTTGCATTTGATCAGTAAAAAGATATTCAGTTTAGTTGATAGTCAAATAAATATCTTTCTATCTATGAGGTTAAGCGAGAGAAGTTCACAGAAAGACGCGGTGAAACGCCTACAGGTTAGGACAACTAACTAATTGATAAGGAAGTAAACAAACTAGTAACTCCACTTCTTTATTAGATAAATGGCAACTTAGTAATGATCAGTTGGTTAACCAAAGTATTAAGGCAATTATATAATACCTTCAGTCTGTATATACAAGAGCAATAGTTGGATATTGACTAGGTAGTCAGCCAATTGGACAAAGTAAGCTATTTCTTTTGCCTCTATTCAATCTATACAATGCAAGTATACAGTGTCAGTACAAGGCTACTGATAGAGGTGTAACTGCTTTGTATTCAATATTCTAGCAAGCTCTTTGGATTTTTTCAAAGTACTAGGCAATGCAGAATCAAAGGCCATATATGGTGAAAGAAATAAATTGACTTTACCATATACATGACTTAGGAATATTCTATATCAAGCTTAAACCCACCTACACAGCCTCTTTGAAACAAGCCCTCCGGATCATACTTCTGGCTTACGTCGCGTAAGAGTTGTACGTTTTCCTCTCCGTATCCCTCAAATGGCCTCTGCCAGTCTCCACAGTAGTTCATGTATCGATACCGATAGCCAGTCCCGTTGACAGAGGCAGCGGCATCGATCTGCTCAATTGCGTCGCGAGTTAGCTTCTCAGAGAGCTTATCGTCACTCTTTTCAATCCAATTGACGGTAAAGGAGACAATCACAAGAGGCTCTTTGGTATCGGCTAGACCAAAGGGATTTCCGTCACAGCCATCCCCAGCCCAGTTTGCTAGCATGGGCTGCAAGACGAGCGTCCATGACATGCCCTTGATATTAGCTTGTTTGATAGGCGCAATAGCGTCTTTATAGGCAGCGTAGACGGCTTGTAGCGTTGCCATGTCGTTCTTGGTGGTGGTGGTAGCAAGCACCTGACGTCTACCAGGAGGATTAAGGGAGTTCATTTCATCACAAGCATCTGCGAGTGGACGGACCTTGCAAGTACTCCAGAAGCGCCAAAGTGATTTGAAGCCAGAAGTTTCCCAACACTCAGGCCATTTGTTCTTCTTCTCAGGGAGCTTCGTGTAGACGAGGTTGACTGAGACCGCCTGGATGCCAAGTTGCTGCAGGTAAGTGAAACATGCGATCGGACCGGACGCATGGCGATCATAAGTAATTCCAGTATTGTCGGGATGGGCTCTGTGAACAAAGTCGTGGAACGCATGCAGGGCCTTTTGAGCACTACTGGATGGCATATAGAGGAAACCGCTCCATATGTCGGTAGAAGGGAAGCTGCGTAGAGTAATGCTAGTGAGGATACCGAAGTTATTACCACCACCTTTCAAGGCACGCCAGAGGTCGGGGTTGGAGGTAGGTGAAGCTGTGGCAACGGCCCCAGAGGCCAGTACGACTTCGTAGCTCAGAACATTATTGCATACCGAACCGACGCGTTGAGAAAAGAAGGAAATTCCACCTAGTTGTATTCCATTAACGTTAGCTCTGGCTAAACAAAGCAATGGTGGGATTGATACTCGTATACCTCCTAATGTCAAGCCGCCGACGCCAACATGTGAGTTTCGTCCACCAGCAACAGCTAGACCCTTCGCAGCCAGAGCTTCGAAAACTGGACCCCATCTAGCTCCCGCGCCGATTACGACGCTCGACCCATCCTTCGATGGGGTCACGTCGCAGAATAGGCTCATATCAATCATCACACCGTCCTCGATGCTCGCGGCATGAGAGACAGCTGAATGGCCACCGCTACGGACAGCAAATAAGCCACCCGCCTTAATACCGCCTTTCTCATCATCTAAACTCCTTCGCCTGTCGTACTCCCCTTTAAGAATAGTGACAGCTGTGCAGAGCTGGTCGATATTCCGAGGCCGGACAACACACGCAGGCACGACCTCACACTCCTGCTGGGCCCAATATGTGTTCATTGACTTCCTGAAAGTAGCAGCATTTTGAGGCAAAACCACAACATCCTCAGGTAAGGCAGATGCAAGGAGCTTGTTGAGTTGTATGGCAGCTTCCGACGAGCGAACTACAAGCTCCGGCTCCGGCTCCTTCGGGCTTCCGCGCAAACGGCGCATGGCAAAGAAAACAGAAACAGCAATCAGGAGAGCCGCAGTAACTGATGTAGCGGTCATTTTGCCCTGTCTGGTCGTTGTCGTCCTCTTCTCTTCTTTCTCAATGCCTTGGGTTCTCACAGGGACAGAATGGAGCAAGGCTGGCGTTAGAAGAAGCAGCAGCACGCCCTTCAACAAACATCAACACAGACCCAGCTACCCAGTAGCTGTGTGACAGCTGCCTCTGATGCGCGACAATGCCCCTCTTAATCTCAAACCAGGTCCCATCCCAAGGCTGCAGCTGCACGCTCTGCACCACAAAGCCGTCTCAGCCCACGCGCGTTCACCTTGTCGAGAGATCGACCGCCAACTGCGTCATTAAAAAAAGAAAGAATAAGATTTTAAGCATGTGCTTTTAAGTTTCGGCCTTGCGAACTCTATTCCCCACATGTCTAAACCTTCATCCTTCGACAACGAAAAAAAATAATTACAGAAAGTTTAATACAACAGAATTGATGGAGAAGTCGATGCTGGGCCTATGACAAGACACAGAAGCGAAATAGATGAGGAGAAATCCTTCAGAATCTTCATCATGAGGGGAAGGAGCATACCGGATCTCCGCGGCTAGGCTGAACCCCGGTTTACACCCTCGAGCCAGTGGAGCGCTTCCTGACCAGCAGCGTCATAAAGGGGCTAGGCACTCTGACCTTGCCAAAGGTCAGGAACGGGGCCGCTGTTGGGTTTTCTAGCTTGAAGTCGTAGTCTAGAAGAAGGTGTGACAGGACCATTTTGATGACAACGGAGACATAGAAGCGTGCAGGGCTGGTCCGGAGGTTAGCAAGTTGTCGCAGCCAAGTCCGAAATTCCGAGGAATTCAGAGTAAAACTTACCATGCATGTTTTATTGAACCCCAGAAGGGGAACTCGTGACTTGGATGAGTGAATCGTGACTCTGACGCATCGCCTTGCTCGTCGACAAAACGGAATCCCTCGAATTCCTTGCCGTTGGGCCAGATCTTCTCATCCCGCATTAGGGCAAGCTGGGGTATGGCAATCCAATTTCCGGCTGGAATGTGGCAGCCATCCTCCATTGTGTACGGGACCATGACTGTACGAGGTGCACTTACTGTTGTAGGGGTTAGATAATATCTTTTCCAAGAGTCATACCAGAGATGGAGGAACATCTGAGGGCTTACTTACCGATTGGGCCTGGACTCAGACGAGAGGTCTCTTTCATGAAACTGTCGAGATAAGGCATCTCTCGGTTCATCGCGCCAAAAGAAAGATTTTCACATTCGAGAGCTTCTTGTCTGAGCTTATCTGTATACTCCTCATGCCTACATAGTCTGTGTATACAGAACTGAACAACCTGTGCCGCCGGATCTTCAGTATGGATGGTAACGCACACAGTGGGGTTATATTGGTCTTGACCTACCATCGGCACTTGGAATGCGCTCGCGAATAACAGTCCAAGTGATATTTTGGCCACTTCTGCTGCATCTCGAAGTTTTGTTATTTCGGAAGCCCATTGTGCGACGTGGCCCCCAGAGTGCTTAAGGTCTGTTAGTTACTTTTTGTCCCCCCTTCTCATTGCCATGCGAGAGAGGAGGACCGTTCATACCTGTTTTTCTCTTCCTACCTCCTTGTCTTCAAGAGCCTTCGTAGTATGCCACAACAAGAGGTCGTATACTTTCGTTCTCGTTACGCCCCAGCCCATGGCAATTGGCCCGATGAAGCTGCAGCAATCTAGTCAGTTTATGTTTCGATGTAGTTCAGGGGGTGATAACTAACGGTGTGAGGAAACTGGGCATCATATCTACGATGGGAAAAGCCCGGGCACAGCTCCAGAAAAAGTTCATCACATCGTCGTATACTTCAGGGCGGTTGGCTTTGTCCTCTGTCAGCTTCACTGTATGATAATGGACATGGAGAGATACCATACACACCTTGTTCGTCACCAACCAGAGGAAGAAGATTTACACTGGTAAAGATGCGAAGGAGTACTGGCATAAGCCTAACCTGTCTCCATTCATTCTTCTCGCAAGCCTCTGGTCATAGCATAATCCGTTAGCAAATTGTCCCGTATAGCCATCCTTCAAAGCCCCAACATACCGTTTGCTGGCGGAGACATCTCCAGAGCCATTGACTTCCTGACTCTTTCTCGAAGGGTATCACTCATCAAAGGAATATTTGAACGGAGCTTGTTCTTCAACACACCAACCACAACACGAGAGACTTCGCTCTGTGTTCCCTTGTTCTCTATTTTTACTTGATGGGGCCCTAATATTGGCCCTGTGGACGCGAGCTACATATTTCGACTTAGCGGTTTTCTTCAGCCACCACTGCAAAGAATTTAGGGCGACGTTACCTCATGCAGTGCTTGCTGTAGTGATAGAACATGCTCAGGTTCACGGTCCAGCTGCTTGAGGGTCTCTGTGTTGGAAACGAAAATAATCCAGCGATCTAGCATGGGAATCGCAAACGGTTTTCCGCCAGCCTGGAACATATTAACCACTTGCTTTTTTAGTGACTCGAGAGGAACTCTTCAGGGAAAGACGTACCGATTCGTACGCTTTTTCAAGGAGCGTTCCAGAATCAAATACCATATGCAATGCCGTCAAAAACCTTCCTAACGGCGTAGGGTATGCTGCAATAATGACATTGGACTAAAACGACGACGTCAATAACATCATGAGCGTTGCCGGTCCAATCTAGGTATGCATACCGGAGCCTTCCACCAGAACTTCCACAATATTTGCGCTGTCTGCCATGCCAAAAGAAGGTATACTACATGATACCAGTGCCAGTTCCAACCTCGAGAGTCAATAGTCGAAGCCAGCTTCGAAAATGGGGGTAGCACTGGAATTGCCATTGTGACAATATGCTTGCTGGGTGGCTCTGTATGCATGGTGGGCGGGTTCAAAATCTATTCAACCTCAATTTATCCCTGTGTGTGTCTCTCTCTCTCTTGTCTCTCCCTCTATGCTAAACTGTCTCTTCTTACCACATGGATATCATCGCTCTTATCAATGGACCAAGACACAGCGGGACGCTGAACTGGCCCCTCCAGCATCTCACCCCTGGCTAGCCTTGGCCAGCCCGCCTTTGCTCTGATAGTGTCTTAGCTTGCGTGACTTCGGGGGCCAGACGATATGGGGAAAGCTGAGTGGTGGACAAGAGCTGCGCGTGTCCCCATTCCCCGAGGTCTTCATATGTCTATTTCGAGAAACAACATGCATATACACAATACTTACGACATGCATATCATCCACAGCAAGGCAGAGGCCATTCAGCCTCCTCCATGCCGATCATGTCCGTGGCTAAGTCCATGAGGTGTATGGGTTTGGGGGCTTGAATTTTAGGGAAAAAGGAGAGGCGGGTAGCAAGAAGGGCAGATCATGGCTATGGTGGGCTTCGTAAAACGTAAAGTGTATTGGACGGGGACTTTGACAGAAATAATACATCCAGTCACTCAGGAAGTTCGGCCCGGTCTACCTTAATTCCAAATATAAGCGGACCAATTTCAGGCGTATAACTAATCGCCTGGAACAGAGCTCTGCAATATCCACCGCTAACCACGACGAGTACGATTTTCTTGCGCTAGAGGGAAGCAACGAATTTAAAATTCTTCACACACATACGGAATGCATGTGTGGAACATCTGGAGTGGGGGGTACAGGGTGTTGTGTCCAGGTGCAGATGCGAAAATACCACGCCTTGATCCTGGTTGATATGTGAGAGATCAGCCGCAGTGGCAGGGATCTTCGCTGTGCTACTGGCAATGGCTGACTTTTCGACCGCTCCGCATGGGCATCGTGTTCGACGGATGGCCCCCAACGGACCAGCAGGCGCCCAGTCATCTTCAGGAAACGAACATGGCCCCCCTCACCATGCAGTACATGTGGCAGGCAGAAGGAAAAAAGAAACCCTGGTACAGCTGCAAGCAGGCCTGGTTGTGGGTTCTCACAGCCTCGCAGCCCTCCAGGTTGTCCTGATATACATAAGGTGCTTGCGCAGCCTTGCTGGAGGGCAATATTTTCAATAATAACGTCGAAGCGCCCGGCTTGTTGGTAAGGCCTCTTTTTTCATTTTTACAAATCCTTCTGCAATCTTTTTGGCATGATTGAAGATTGTGCTCAGCAACATCGAGACCTCAGATCGAACTAACTAGTTAGCAAGCTAGCGGCGATGTCTAAAACTCCAGACGCCAATGCTCTCAAGAGCATTCCGCCAGACCTTCTGTCGACTATCCCAGGCGGTAAACCACCACCTGGGGTCACGCCGAATTTCGATGACCCGGTGTCTCAAGTACCAGTCATTATAGGAGTAGGGACAGCGTTCCTGGCTATGGCTTGCTTCTGCTTCTTCATTCGCATGTACACTCGACTTGCCATCTCGAAAACATGGAAGTGGGATGACTGTAAGCAGACTCCAGCGGTGGTAGATGGTTAAGCGTGAACCTCAGGCTGACTTCTTTTTCATAAGTGACAATATCCATAGGTTTTGTGAGCCGCCACGATCATGCCCTCTGTCAATAAAAAAGGCCTAACAATAGAATATAGCTATTCAGTCTCGTATATTATGCGGCGACGCTAAATGGTAAGCGACGTCGAGTTCCTTTTTAATGTTTTCTCGTTCCAGACTAACCCTTCTAAAGGTTGTATTAATGGAATTGCCGGACGTCACGAGTGGGAGGTGCACCTCGATAAGCTCATTGGAAACGCTCATCTCTATGTATGTATTAAGTCCCTAAGTTCGTTAATTGGACAATTTGCTGATAACTAGTGCAGCAAAGCTACATCACAGTTATCACAGCAACGCCAGCACTAGGACTGATCAAACTCAGCCTTTTCATTCAATACTACCTCTTATTTAAAGTAAGGAGGTATGTAAGAATTAGCGTATATGTGGGGGCAACACTATCTGGCCTTTTCTATATCGCTACCTCGATCTCGTCTTTCGTGCTGAGCAGTCCATGGCCGGGAGAGTCTATCCTCGACTGTATCCTCTCATGGCACTACCTCAAGTTCGCCGAGTTCTCCATTCCTACCGGCATCATTGGTTCGCTGGTTGACGTTGTCCTATTTATACTCCCAATGCCCGCTGTATGGCAGCTGCAGCTGTCAACTGCGAAGAAGATTGGTATCATACTAGTGTTCATGACTGGTGGCCTGTAAGTCATCTCGGGGCAACCCACTATAGGCTTCGCAGAACCATAAAAAAAAAGGTCTGACGTATTCTTAGGGCCGTGGCAGCCTCGGGTGTGAACCTCTATTATCGTGTCCTTCTCCAAAACGATGTAAGCGATGCATCATGGAAAGTCGGATACGTTTTGCTCTGGACGTAAGACAACCAGCTATATAACCGAGATTTTTCTCTTGTATCCGTATCTAACAAAAACATATAGGGAGATCGAGATGTTTGCTGGCATCACAGCTTCCAGTATGCCTGCAGTTAGGCAATTCTTCTCTTCGCGTACCGGGCTCTTCTCCAAGAACTCACGGCCTTCTTTCACCCCCACAATTAGCATGATAAATCGCTCCAAGCGGTCTGGCCATGAAGAACTCATCAACCAGAAAGACACGGCCTTCCGGCAATGGGGGTATCCAGTTAAGAATGACGAGGAGAGCCTTAACAGGTCAGAGGAAAGCCAGAGTAGCCCTAGACTGAACGGGGCATCTCCCCAGCCTCAGAACCTATCACGGTAAAAAAAAGTCAACGAATGATTAATGCTTTAATAAACACTCCCTTTTGTATATATAATATGAGACCCCTTTTCACGACTTGCAATGTATATAAACGATATATCAACCGACGTTTCTTCTTCTTTGCTTCTATGCTCGTTGTGTAGTGGTGGATGTCCTGTTTAGGTTTAGTGGACTGCTGACATAAGACGATCAACTTTCGCGCTTTATCAGAAAAGCTTAGAGCTTCCCTCAATCTTGAATTCCACCGAGCAAACAAGGACAAGGGACTGCTTATATTTAACAATGGACGGGATAAAAGACAGCAGCTACGGGTCTATAGAACCTCCGCAGCCTCCTCCGGAGCCCATCGAACGGCCTCCGACTCCTCCACCTCCTCCTCCTGCCGATCATAGCTTACCTCCGCCGCCGCCAGATATCCCGGCTCCTCCACCCCCAGATTCTCTTGTTCCTCCGCCCCCTCCCCCTTCAGAGCCCAAGAAAAAGAAAGGCTGGGGAACTACAAAAGCGGCGAATCCCCTAAGTGTTGAGGAATTGCTTCGGAAGAAAAAAGAAGCAGACGAGGCAGCTTCAAAGGTATGCTAATCCGTCGAATCTTTTTGACCAGCATGGCACCTTGCATGCTTCTTTTTCTTGTTTAATATCCACGTCAGGATGATCTATAGGGCAAGTTACTAACATATATACTTATGAATAGCCCAAATTTCTTAGTAAAGCACAGAGGGAGAAGATTGCGCTCGAAAAACGAATGAAAGAAGTGGATAGCGTTCGCCGCGCGAAGTCAGCAGCCAATGGTAATTCTGGGTCGGATTCAAGAACTCTAGATATAGAGACAAATGGGTACTCTTCAGCTTCTGCCTCTCGTGCTGGTGAGACTGGTAGGAATGATGGTTCGAGGCACATCCCTACAGGTCCCCGTGCGTTGAGACATGATGCACCGACTGGGCCGGCTTCCATGAGATCGAACCAGAAGGGTAATGATAAAACTTCACAGAGTTCTTCGGCATCTACTTCCGGAAACAAAGGGGAGAAACGGGCCTTACCAGAAGATGCTCAGGCACAACTCATTCGACAGAGATATATGGGCGCAGACCAGAGATCTAGCTTTTCTGCGAAGAAGAAACGGCGGCGAACTACTGAAAGGAAATTTAATTTCGAATGGAATGCGGAAGAAGATACTAGCCCTGACTACAACCCACTATACCAGAATCGCTCTGAGGCAAACTTTTTCGGTCGTGGTAGACTAGCTGGTTTTGCAGATGAAGTGGTAGATGACTCGGTGAGAAAGTATGCAAGAGCTTTGGAGGACAGGGATCTTGAAGCTGGAAGTGTCCGAGCAAGAGAGATATTGGAGATGGAAAGACGAAGAAAGGAAGAGAGCGGAAGAAATGCTATTGATGCCCACTGGAGTGAGAAGAAATTGGAACACATGAGAGAAAGAGATTGGCGAATATTCAAAGAAGATTTCAACATCAGTACAAAGGGTGGTGGTTTGCCAAACCCGATGCGTTCGTGGTCTGAATCGGGTCTTCCCAAGAGGCTTCTTGAGATTATCGACTCTGTCGGGTATAAGGACCCATCGCCTATCCAGAGGGTCTCTATACCAATTGCGTTGCAGAACAGGGATCTCATCGGTGTTGCTGTCACCGGTTCCGGTAAAACAGCGGCATTCCTACTACCACTGCTTGTTTACATCTCCTCCCTCCCACGGCTAGACGAGTTTGAATGGCGACGGAATGACGGCCCGTACGCCATTATTTTAGCACCCACTCGTGAACTTGCCCAGCAGATCGAAATAGAAGCTATGAAATTCGCTGCGCCGCTTAACTTCAACGTCGTCAGTATTGTGGGTGGTCACTCGCTTGAAGAGCAGGCATATAATCTACGCAACGGAGCGGAAATCATCATTGCTACTCCGGGTCGGTTAGTCGATTGTATTGAGAGACGAATACTCGTCCTCAGTCAATGCTGCTATGTCATTATGGATGAAGCAGATAGGATGATTGATCTTGGCTTTGAGGAACCTGTGAATAAAATTCTTGATGCACTTCCAGTATCAAATGAGAAACCTGATAGCGAAGAGGCAGAGAACGCCCAGGCAATGAGCCAACATATTGGCGGCAAGGACCGATATAGGCAGACAATGATGTACACTGCCACCATGCCTTCAGCCGTTGAACGGATAGCAAGGAAATACCTCCGTCGTCCGGCAATTGTTACGATAGGTAACATCGGCGAAGCAGTTGATACCGTTGAGCAGCGGGTTGAATTCGTTTCAGGAGAAGACAAGCGTAAGAAACGTCTTGCGGAAATTCTCACTTCACGCGAATACCGCCCTCCGATCATTGTATTCGTTAATATCAAACGAAACTGTGATGCTGTTGCGCGAGATATTAAACATATGGGCTTCTCGGCTGTCACATTGCACGGTTCTAAGACTCAGGAGCAGAGAGAAGCGGCTCTCGCATCCGTACGTAATGGATCGACGGATGTTTTGGTTGCCACAGATCTTGCTGGTCGTGGTATAGATGTTCCAGACGTCAGTCTGGTGGTCAATTTCAATATGGCTACGAATATTGAAAGTTATACTCATCGTATTGGACGAACTGGTCGTGCAGGGAAGAGTGGTATTGCAATCACATTCCTTGGTAGTGAAGATAATGATGTCCTGTATGTTGATTCCCTAACACTCCTCTTATTGATATTGGTTCTTAATTACTAACTCTTGTTCGCAGGTATGATCTTAAACAAATGCTTATGAAATCGTCTATATCAAGAGTACCGGAGGAACTACGCAAGCATGAAGCTGCTCAATCTAAACCGATTAGAGGAATGGGTGCAGCAGGCCAGAAGAAAATTGAAGAGAGCTCTGGGTTTGCCGGCAAGGGTGGCGGTAGTGGATGGTAAATAACCACGTGTAAGATACGACCGATATATATGATCTAAAGAAGTGAAGATTTTTCATTGAGGTGCAGCGTCTACGACTTTGAAGGATGGGTAGTTTCTCTCGAAATATATCTATATACACCCTAACCTTTGGGCTACGATACGGTAACCATAGTAGGTTCCGTCATGCATAACATAAGGACAATGTCCTAACGAGTGTAAGATTGACCATTTGTCAACCTATAGGAAGACTCTTATGGCCAGGGTATCTGTTCTGCCTAGAGCCTTTAAAATATGCATCTCACAGAAAAATACGTTATTTAATAGTTGATTTAGGCTTTAAATCCGTTCGTCTTGAGCCAGCTCTCCACATCCCCACGGTCACGCGACAGCCAGCCAGCCTTAGCGCGAATGGAGTCGAGACTTTGCTCCAGGGATCGGTCATAGCCCTATACATGTGCTGGTTAGCAGAGAGCCAACTAATAGAATTAGATGAGTTTTAAAAAGAGTATCTTACCTTGTGGTCCTTGTCTTTGAAGAACTCCTCTACTTCCTTCAGCTGCGACTCGGTAGACAAGCTAGCACAGGCGATCTGAATAACAGATCCCAGCATAGAGAAGGCAGGAGGAAGCCTCTTAGTCAATGGCTCCCAGTTGTCCTGCAACCACTTCCAGCGAGCTAGTATACCGGCGGAGTGGGAGCGAAGGCCGGACATGGGCATGTAGATATCTTGGATTCTGACTTCTTCGGAAAGAGTGAGATCGAGAGTCTTCTGCACAATTTCTGGCTTCTCGCAGGAACCAAGGCAGCGGAGAGCGGTGTTCTTTTCGGCAGAGGTGGGTGCATTCTTGTATCTGTCAAAGACAGTCTGCCATTCCTTCTCGCCACCGTTTCGGAGGGCAATGTCAAAAACGCTTCCACGGATGTTGGGGTGGATGGCATCGTAGTCACCCTCAGAGAATTTCTTGAACATCTCGGTGGCAGCAGCAACGACTTTCTCGTCGCCTGCAGAGCCAGCAGCGCTGAACATGAGAGCTTTATACTGTTGTAGAACATGACCGTCCTTGTCGCTAAATGTCCAACCGAGTTCGTGAGCCTTTTGGCTGACCAGATTGCGCTGGAATGTCTTCAGGGCTGTCTTGGTCTCCTCGTCTTCAAACATCCAGGCACCACGGATAGAACCGAGGCGAGTGAGAATCTCATTCCATACAACGAATTCATTCTCTTGATCAAATGCCTTGAGGAGAGACAAGCTGCCGGAAGTCTTCTGGTAACCAGAAGCGGCAAGGACACCGGCATCGGCAATCATACCAGCCTTGTCTTCGACGGTAAGGCGACCGGCTTTGGCGTCCTCTCCAAGCTTCTCCAGACGCTCGGGAGTGTAACATGTTCTAAAGAGAGATGAGTGGTCTGCGTTGAGCTTGTAGAAGTCGAGGTTAACCTTGATCTCTTCGGATCGCTGCGAAAGGACAGCAGACTGGTCAATGCCATCAGAACCCTTCAGAGCCAGGACGACGGGGTAAAGCGTCTTGTCATCCTCGGCCTTGACGTCTCCAGTTCGAAGGAAACGGTTCTGCTGGACCGTGATGCTGCTGTTTCCCTTGTTCTCCTTTACTGTAAGAACAGGGAAACCAACCTGCTTAGTCCAAATATCCATAACCTTGTCTATAGGCTTACCGCTGGCTTCGCTGAGGGCAGCCCATAGATCACTAGTGGTGGTATTTCCATAGGCGTGCTTCTTGATATATGCCTTGACACCCTCTAAGAACTTCTCCTCACCCATGTATTTGGAGATCATTCGGAGGACAGCAGAGCCCTTGGAGTAGGAGATAGCGTCAAAGATCTGAGTGATTTCATCGGCACGTTTTACAGGTACCTCGATGGGGTGGCTGCTTCTAAGGGAATCAAGAGACAAAGCTTGTTGAAGGTTGTCGATAACGTAGGTCTGCCAGACATTCCACTCTGGATAGAAGACATTGCACGAGTACCATGACATCCACGTGGCAAAGCCCTCGTTGAGCCAGAGGCCATCCCAGAAATCCATGGTGACCAGGTTTCCGAACCACTGGTGAGCGAGCTCGTGTTGCACAGTTTCGGCAATTCGCTCCTTGGTAGCAGCACCGGTAGTCTTTTCGTCGTACAGGACGTCGACGATTCTGTAGGTGACCAGACCCCAGTTCTCCATAGCACCGGCAGCAAAGTCGGGCACGGCAACCATATCCATCTTGGGCAACGGGTACTCGTTGTTGAAGGCCTTCTCATAGAAGGCCAGGGTCTTGGCAGCAAGGTCGAGCGAGAACCTTCCGTGCTCGATGTTCTGGTCCGGGGTAGCGTACACTCTAATTGGCACTCTGAAGGCCTTTGTCTCAATATAGTTGAGGTGGCCAACAATGAAAGCCACAAGGTAAGTTGACATAAGTGGGGACTTGTTGAACTTAACGGCCTTTCGAGGATGGCTGACCATGGTGGATTTGACTTCGGTCTCTGAAGCCACGTCCATGTTGCTCAGACAGGTCATGTCTTTGTCTGCAATGAGGGTGACAGTGTACTCTGCCTTGAGAGAGGGTTCGTCGAAGCAAGGAAAGGCGCGTCTGCAGTCTGTAGGCTCCATCTGGGAGGATGCCATGTACTTTTGGTTGCCATTGGCATCCTTGTAAGAGCATTTGTAGAAACCCGCCATGTTGTCATTCAGGGTGCCGGTGAACTTGAGGTTCAACCTGGCCTTGGAGCAAGCAGCAATCTTCTGTCCAAGGGTGATGGTAGCAGTCTGCTTGTCCTTGTCATAGCTAACCGGTGAGGAGGTAGCAATTTCTGTTCCATTGGTCTCAAGAGCAGCAGTATTAATAGTGATGTCAAGGGCATTCAAAGTGATTGAGCTCGTCTCCTTCACAACTTCGAGGCTATCGATCACCGTCTAGTTAGCATAACAGTCTTGCATTTCATAAAACGGATAGCACGGATAGCCATACTCAATCTGAACAGATCCCTGGAAGGAGAAGTCCTCGAAGTTGGGCTCCAGCGTCAAGTCATAGTGCAGTGGCTTCACATTGTCCGGGAGGATCTCGCGACCCTGAGCGGCCACGGGCATGGAACCCGCGGCCCCGTCGTCACCTCGCCTTGCATGACACATTCTCCTATACGAGCAGAATCGCTTGAACTGACGAGGAAGACGAGCAGAAGGAGAAGAAGTTGTAGATGTCAAGGAGAAAGGAAGTAAAGAAGTAGCAGAAGTAGCAGAAGTTGGCGGGGTGAAAGACGATGGCGGGCGGGGGGAGGTCGCGGGCCTGATTGGGCGCACGAAGCTTCGACGGAAAGGCTGAGTAATACTGAAAGAGAGCGGCGGCGACAGTGACAGGAGAGATATAGCGGAAAGAGACGATGACAGAGACAAGGTAGACGGAGCAGGAGAGAGAGACGACGCTGGCGGCCGAAGGAGAGAAGGGCCTCTGCGAAGGCCGGCTGCACGGGACAGCATCCTGCCGGCGGGCAAGGCCAGTGAGCTGGAGAAAGGACAGGCCGGGATGCACTGGGAGCTCAGTAGCTACCGGTAGACAGGCTATCGGGAGCTCTCATGCATGCAAAAAGACGCCCGTCTTGAGCAGATAGTTATACAGCGGTTGCAGTTTATATATATAGAGAGAGTGAGAGGTCTTCCTATATATCAGATAAACCAGCCAGATGTCCAGACAGCGAGAGTTCACGGCTCAATTGACCCAAAGGAGCGACGGATTGAACCAGGAGAAACGAGCGGCGGAAGATCAAAATGCATAAGCAAGTCCCGTCCTTGCTTTCTTGCTCCTCGCGCAGAGTATCAGCTCCATCAAGCTGTCGCCGTCTTCATTTTTTTTTTTTTTTTTTTTTCACACCTGCAGGAGAAAATCTCGAGCTTCTGACCAATCAGAGGCTGTAACCTCGTCTTTGTCACTTGGATGTCTTGGCGTTTCTTCCTCCTTTTTTAATTCGGGTTTTTTTTTATTTTTCTTTCTTTTCTTTCCTTCTCATCAACGCAAAGGAAGGGTCGTCTTTTTGATATAGACCAGCTGCGAGTCTACAATCGAAGCCGTCTATCGCCCTTCAATGCCAGATTATTTCTCCCGCTAGTTTGAGGGGATCGGTTCGCGGCTTTCCAGGCTGCTCCAAGTGAACTGTTTCTCCATAGAATAGTCGGCACATCTTTTGCCATTACTGGATTTTGACCAGCTGTGTTGTATTATTAGATAAAATGAATGGACTCTTGTATAAAGGAGAGTATACACGGTAGGTGTTAGGAGAATAATACAATTTGCTACGATTCCCCTACATGACACTCATCACATAGTTCAACGGGAGAAGGGATATTAATTTCCTCACGGCGAGCTGGGAGGGACAGGTTTCTTCTACCCAAAATGGCCTTCTTTACTCTTCTCATCTGGCGCATTGGGCCCTGCCGAAGGTATCCTTACTGCCACCATCCTAGTTGCTCCGTTCTCCTCCTCAAAGGAGTGCTCTGCAATCTTATATACCTTCATACAAGGTAGCAGCTTTGCCCATACTACCCAGTAAACCGCACCAATCACAAAGACACTCAGACCGGCCACACAGTGCGAGTAGTACGGAAGGTAAGCATATATATTGTCCTTGGGGTTTGGCGGTGGGAGGAATGGTGCAACCGTGAGATAGATGTTGGATACCAGGAAAAACCCAGTAACTGGCAATGTTGCTCGAATGCCCGGAGCCCAACCAGGATACTTTGACGGCCGAAGGTATATATGCATCAGTCCTGCAGCTACTAGGACATTTACCACGGACAACGGGTACGAAATCATGCTATTTCACCCTTTTTTTTTAGCCAATATTCAATTCATAATTGTCACGGGATACCCACTTGAGAAGAAAAATATACGCATCTCCAGGTGGCGGTGCAAGCATCACTATGGCTGAGATCATATAATGTTCCAGCAGGCCAGCAGCTGGAGAGTTAAACGGACGTTTACTCGCCCAGAATTTTGACAGTGGAAGTACACCTTCTTCGCCGAGTGCCTGGACAACTAAACCGCTTAGTTAGAAAGCATTACGGAAGATGAATAAACATATTGAGCTTACTTCTTCCTTGAGAGAATAGCACTGCCATCACGTTCCCAAAGGCCGAGAGTGCAATAAAAATGGACAGAACCCTCTCTGCCTTTGGCCCAAATATGTTGCGAAAAAAGGAGGCTGCCAGAATACGTCCGGAGCCCAGGATGTCTTCCTTTGGCACAACCGCGAAATATGCAATATTAACCAGCAGATAGAGGATTCCAACCAACGTAACTCCTATAGGAGCTGCGATCTTTAATGTTCGAATGGGGTTTCGAGTCTCGCTGAGTGACTATTAAGTTCATGTCAGAGCTAATCCTGGAATATTCCCAACAATTTTACTCACATAGTTTGCATTTGAATAACCAACATATGACCAGATAACGCTGTACAAGGCAGTGACCATGCCGTACACGCTTGGACGACTGTCTCCCCAGGTGTTCGAAAAGTTATTCGAGGGCTTCCCCGGTGTACCTCTCGCAAGTCCCACTGCTCCGCTGACAATGATAACCAAAATCACAACCAGCTTCAGCAAGCCAAGTGTATTTTGCAGACGAAGACCCCATTTCATCTCGACGGTATGGACAAGGAATGCTACCGTTATGCACCCAAACCCAATACCCCGTTGATTCCACCGGTTGACTTCCACGCCTGCAGCATGCAGAACGTATTCCCCAAATACTACACTGTTTCCAGCAGCCCATCCGAGGAACAATGCATACGAAGCATAAATCGCTGTTGCAAGGAACTTCGGTTTCCGGTAGACATACTCCAGATAATTTTTCTCTCCGCCGTTTCTGTGTTAATATATGTCAGTCACCAGATAGGAATCGGCATTTTACACAGACGCAAAAGGAGGTATAACTCCCGAACCTTGGAATCGCGGTACCAAATTCAAGGTACACTGCCGTACCAGCCATTGCAATTAACATCCCAATAATCCAAACCACTAAAGATATGCCAACGCTACCCGTCTGGGCCAGGATGGCACTAGGCGTGGCGAATATCCCTGTTCCGATGATTCGATTAAATATAAGGAACGTTGCACTGACGACGCCAATCTGTCTTCCTTTGGCGATCACGACCGTATCAACGTCAGTGTTATTTTCGCTGGCACCACAGTCTCCGCCGCTGAACTCAGAACATGTACTCTTGCCAACTGTATACCTGATATTAGTCTCAGTCTCCATTCGATAAAGCATTCTTGTTGGTGTCCACAAACTCACAAGAAGGTATTTTAAGATCCATTGGAGGAAGGTTGATATCCCCGAAAGATAATCTTCCATAGTCCTCCGAGGCCTTGTGCGATGGTAGTTCTGTCACTGAATTTCTCAGCGTCTTGGAGGACGCCCCTTCAGAGGTGGAATCGCTTGAACCCGCCATGGCGTTCAAGCAGGTGAAGCTGAACACCAACGGACGGCCCTCAGAGATAAGAGACGTATATGTATACAACAGCGTATGGATATACGATCAAGCTAGCTTCTGAATATCGCGGAGCAAAGGCATTCTTTACAGTGTTTAGGGCTTTTGAGTCTTCCAATGCGGTTGAAAAAATGCAATATGGACTTTACATAGGAAGGAAACACCCGTGGCTGGCGATATCCCAAAATTTGAACTTATGATCGTAGAACATATAAATCGGTTCGTCTGCGTGAATATGAAGGGGCAAGAGATGAAAAGATTCATGGATTCGTTTGAAGTACATGTATGTAATATTTTTATATTAACCTATGGCCCTCCATAGTAAGTTAAATGCACATCAAAACTGGATCTTAAAAAGAGAAGAAGAAAAAAACGGAGACACAGCAACAAGAAACAAGGAAGGCAATAGGCAGAAATCGAAGCCAGGCGCCAAATCTTAATAGACCACTCCAGACGCGGCTCCCAATGAAGATAAAAATGATGGACAGGAAAAAAGGAAAAAAAAAAAAAAAAGAATATGCC